TGACCTAGATCCTGTTCAGTCCGGCTTCCGCCCAGGGCATGAGATAGAGACAGTACTGGTCGCTCTTACTGATGACCTGCAAAGGCATCTGGATTGGGGCGGTGTGGCGGCACTGTTGTTGTTAGATCTGTTGGCCGCGTTTGATACAGTCGATGACCAGTTGCTGACTCACCACCTTGCCAACATGGGGATTCAGGGGCTCACCCTTCAATGGCTTGCCTCTTTTCTCCAAGGTCAGGGACAAAGGGTGGCAATAGGGGAACAGCAGTCCTGGAGACATCCTCTTGAATGTGGGTCTACCCAAATGAGTAGACGACAAAAGAACTGCGTCATCAGCATACTGCAGTAAAGGGATATACACAGAGCCAAGTCTAGGGCTGTGACGATCAACTGAAGACAGAAAGAGTTCATACTTCCAACTGTACAGATGACTTTCATAAGCAGTACTGTCTCACCAGCTCATAGTACCACAGATAATAAGTGAACATTATAGTATTTACTCTGAACTGCACTGTGGAGTTCTTGATACTTTTATACCTAGTAAATGAACTATTTATTTATTATTATATTCAATTCTTACTGGATAATTCTTACTATTCAGTTCTTACTGGATAATTCTACTAATTTTGTGAAATAGTTTGTTCCCCACCCTCCATAAACATCAGCAATAGAATGCAGAATTGTTGAGTCCTACGTATCATGTTTTCATGCTTCCCCATTTTACCCTTAAAAGAACTGCGTCATTAGCATACTGCAGTAAAGGGATATACACAGAGCCAAGTCTAGGGCTGTGACCATCAACTGAAGACAGAAAAGGGGCAAAGTCATTTAAGAAAAAATTGAAAAGGGAAAGGGCCAAAATACAGCCCTGCTTAACCCCTTTATTTATAGTAATAATTGGGGTAAGTCTTCCAGAGGGAGGGCATCTAAATACAAAATTTGTCTTATAAAAGAGGACCCTCTGCTGGCTAAAATGAGGTGGTGTATTTTACAAATTAAAAACTTTAATTTAGACAAAAAGAAGCTTTATAAAATTATTAAAAATATTTTGATAGATCAAAATAAAAACTGATACAGTCAGTGTATCTACAAGAGCTTTATGTCATAGGATGTCATAGGCTACTTTAAAACACTAAAAGAATTCATGAAAAAGGTTTAATCCTTTAGAATATCATTGTAATGATATATGCTTTCATATTTTGTATACATTTTAGTGAAAATAAGTTTGTAAAATGCTTTAAGAATATTGTTATACTTTTATATGCATGTATTAATGTAAAAGGACCATTTTTGTAATGAAAACATCTAAGTTTTGTAACTAAAAATGAACTCAGCCTGAGAGCTCATTCAAAGGTGAAAGGAGTCTAGGAAGAAAGCCAAAAGAAGTAAACAAAAAGTTAAATCAACATAATGAGCAGTGCACCTGCATTGTAGAAGTTGAGATGCGGCCAAGTAACATCCTGTGTGTCAAATATATGATTGATGACTGACCAGACAAAGAAATCTGAACAGAGCATGTCTAAATGATGACAGTAATGATGTAAAGTGAGGAGCAAGAGGAGCATATAAGCAAGCTCCCGGCTGTAACACATTGAACATCCACGCTGAATTTTAGCTGTGAGGTGTTCCTTATTTGAATAAATTCTTTTGTTACCATTTACTGCCTGGATAATTGTTTTACTGTGTGGTTTATCGGCTAGCCACACAAGTCAAAGAACCTTAGTGCCCTTGAAGGCATTGGCTACAATACTGAGATCTCTTTGAATTTTTGTGAAATCCTCCCATTGTGATGGCCAGCCATCAAAAAAACCACGAAGAAGGGAAATTAAATTTGATGTATCATCTCCCAGTTCTCCCATGCCCCTATGCATTATGGACTATATGAATGTTACACGTACCAATATCTGCCTCTCTGTCAAAATAAGATAATCATTCATGAGTTTAGTGACAGCCTTGTTGCTATTTGACCTATCATTACTTAGCATTAGCAGTTTTGACCAAGAAAGTTGTGCCA